GTGGCTGGAGTGCATTAAACACATTCCTGCAGTGCATCCTGCAGATTATTTTGGCCAAAAGGAATCCAACCCAGGTCACTCCCCAGGATCACTCCACAGTGCAAACCAGAGCAGGGGCGAACAGGACATGCACTTCAAAATTTTATTGCTGACCCAAATGAAAACACTAGCATAATACACTCTTGCTGGATGTCACATATTAGGAAAAAAAAAAAAAGAAGAATTTGAAATAAAGCAGAATCTAATTTCTGAGGGCCTGGAATGGAAGTTAAGAATTATTCTGATATAAAATCAGTCTATGAGATGGAATAAAAGTATTTCAAATTTGATGCAAGACCTTTACAGTTAACTCTGAAACACAAGCCTATCACGCCCATGTGGACGTGAATCACTTTACTGGAACAGCATGCATGCAAAACTGAAAGCAGAAGTATATTTTTATAAGAAATTAGAGTACGAACCTTCTGAAAGTTTTAGGTATTTTAGTCAGTAACATTCACTAAATGTCTCAGTACTGACAGACAGCAATGAAACAAATTAACATCAATTCAGTCAACTCTCATCAGATTGCAAGTGGGAACACAAATACAGAGGAAGTATTTGCTAATTTTGAGCAATCTGAGTGCACTGGGTAACGGTTAAAATAAAAATCCATTACTCATAACACTGAGGCACTGCTGGTAAAATGCAATAATTATGGTGATAGTAATCAGTGTTGCCTCAAGAATGTCCCAGCGCTCCCCACAGTAAGTCTCCTATCACCCCATCTCATCTAACCAGCACATTCCTTTGGTGCTCCTCATTATGAAAACAGTTAAGCACAGAAAACATGAACAGGTTTGAATCACATTCTTGAAAAGGAGCACATGCAAATCAGAACCGTGTCTCAGTCCAGCAACAGAGACATGATTTGTGCCAGAGACCAGTCATTTATACAACTTGACAATATTTCTACTGGACTTCTCCATTCTCCTCCCCCACTCCGTTAAAAGAAATAAATTTTAGTGGATTTCCATCATCCAAAAGGTCTCAATTTCATAATAGGTTTTTATTTTATTTTATTTTATAAATTGAGAAAAATATTATTAGTCACTTGTTATTCTAGGTTACCTTTTGTTACCAATAAGCAAAGGTAAAAGCATTCGAAATACTTCACACATGATAGTCCTACACTTTCTAAAATGTGGCCTGATTCTCTAAATATAGTTCCATGTTCACTGAAATTCTGTTTTGTATTCCATGGTTTACTCAAATGCTCAGGATTTAATGAAAAATGTCTAGTGCAGGCAATAATTAGTGCAGGCAATAATCACAACATGGTTTCTAAAATATGAAACATTTTCTTTAAAGCAGAGAGGCTAATGGTCACTAATTGTCACATTCCTTGCTCAGGGACATTATTTTGGTGCTTCCCAGTGAAGAAAATAGTTGATTATGGTGGTCAAACTGGAGTGGTCTGAGCACAGAGATGACACTATTCACTGACTCCATCACACAGAGCACAGCTAGAAGTAGTCATAATTTGATTCCAGGGCCTGTGGAGATACCAGTGAAGAGAGACAGCATCACCAAGATCTTGAACAAGGATTCATGAGCTACACCTTTGGAGGGACATGGCAAAAATCAAGTAGATGTTTGCCAAAATTAAGGTTAAACCTTTTATCTCGTCATCTGCACCTTCGAGCAGCAGACTCCATTAGCACAGATAATAGCTTAAAGACTGAAATTGAGTAATTGCATTGCCACAAAAGAAGATGTTACAGAATCACAGAATTGTTGAGGTTGGAAAAGACCTCTGAGATCATCAAGTCCAGCCTGTGACCCAACACCATCACACTGGCTAGACCACAGCACTAAGTGCCACATCCAGCCCCTCCTTAAACACCTCCAGGGACACCACTTCCCTGGGCAGTGCATCCCAGTGCCTGAGCACCCTCTCCGTGAGGAAGGGCTTCCTGAGATCCAACCTAAACCTCCCCTGACGCAGTTTCAGGCCATGCCCTCTCATCCTGTCACTGGTTGCCTGGGAGAAGAGCCCGACCCCACCTGACTGCACCCTCCCTTCAGGTTGTTGTAGAGAGTGATGAGGTCCCCTCTGAGTCTCCTCTTCTCCAGGCTAAACAGCCCCAGCTCCCTCAGCCTCTCCTCACAGGACTTTCCCTCCAGTCCCTTCCCCAGCCTCGTTGCTCTCCTCTGGATCCGCTCCAGCCCCTCAAGGTCTTTCTTGCAGTGAGGGGCCCAGACCTGCACACAGGGCTCCAGGGGAGGCCTCACCAGTGCTCTCTCATAGCACTCTAATTTTGGAGGGGTACAGTCCAATAATCTCACTCATATTTATGCATTAATTAAAAAAATAAGTAACAAGGAAGAATAGTGATGGAGGAGATGCTGAGAGAGCATGTTGGTTCAAGTAACACACATAAATTCTTCTGCATTGCGCAAGCCAGAGCACGCATCTGTAGGCCAAAGTCTCATCCCACAGTTTTCACCATATCCACAACTGATGCAAATCCCTGCAATCTGCCTGAGCTTTATCACTTTTGTCTGGTTTTTAATTAGGTTATAAGATAGCTATTTGTTGAATATTTAAAATTCAATTAAGTTTTCTTTTCCTTTCATGGAAAATCCGGCTTCAGCATTTGAATGTACATGAAAATAAGCAAGAGGAGCACTTTGAAGATCTGGATTTTTTGATGATACGTCACAGAACTAAAGAGGAGGAGAAGTTTGTTCTTGGGATACAAGGTATCTATACTAGTTAAACAAAATATAGAAAGCATATTAAAGTATGCTGTTACAAACCAAAAATTCTTTCTCACTAGAATGCATCTAATACTTTATGTATAATACTATATAAGCTTTTTTTTTTCTGAAAAAGGTATATTTATTTCTATGTGAACACAAATTTCAAGTATCTCACTCTAAATATATGGAGTCATCACATTAATATGATGAGGTGATTCTAAGTAAAGCAGTAATTATTTCAAATTATCACAGATTTTTCCAAATACCTTTAGCCTGCTTCCAGAAATAACATGAATTTCACCCGCAGCTTTTAAAATTATCACCAAATTCTGGAGAAGTCAGTGTACTTTCAGATGTCCTGGGGGTACTATAGAAAGACTAGAGGGTGCTGAAAGTCCCACACACATTATCTTAGATCTTCAGTCCTGGAATATCTGGACTACCTTACCCTGTAACCACACGCTGCAAAACTGACAACAGAAATGCTGGAATATAGACTGGAAATGTTATGAACTCACCTCTTCCTCTTTCCACCCCCATTTCCCCAACAGACTTAGGCTAGAAAAAAAGCAACAAATGTCCACAGTTATCCTTAAATCTAAGTTCATTAGCATAGAAATTATGTATTTGAATGCTGAATACTACAAAACAACAGCCTCGTCTTTCTGTGAACTACACAAACACTTTAAAATTGAGCATGTGCCTTCAAAGTTGTGGCCAGTGAGCAAACCTAAACCAATATATTGCACTTGTTTGTCCCTTACTGATCCCTAAGAAAGTAAGTTTATAACCCTCCACCTCAACAGCTGAGAGCTGTACTTGTGTCATTCAGATTTTCTGCACATAATTTTATTTACGGATGGATCAGCATTTGTTTCCTTATTTTTCATAAAAAGAAGAGCATATATTTAAAATCTGACAAAATGGAATCATGTAAGACTTGATCTGAGAATGAAAACTCAATTTAAAGTGACACTGTAAGAATGAGACCACTTTCCAGGCTAGTTAGTTCACTGACTTACAACTTCAGTAACTTTGATGTATGACCTACAAGCAGAATTTAACCAATGTGGCCACTTTGTCACATGACAGATAAAAACAGCACATTGAAAATAAATATGTATCACAGATACTGATGTTTCTGGCAAAAACATGATTCGGACAGTTCAGAACACTTGATCTTCTGTATCTAATCTTTGTTATTATTTTTTACTGTTTAGAAGTTATGAGTCATTCTCTAGGACAAAAAAAAAATACCCAACAATAAGATAAGTATAAGCCAATTTAATATGTCTCCCTGCCAGAACATTTTTTTACTTAGCTATGGATACTATCTGGTTTCTCAAATGAGTCTTCAACTTTGATTTCACATAGCTATTGATTTTCCAAGTTACAAAAACAAGACTGCATCTTTAATCCACAGTTGCACAACTGTGTTACCAGGCTCTGCTCCAGTTAACCAGCTATGAATAAAGTTACAGTGTTTGAACAAGCTTATTTGCCTATTCTTCAGAGACCTTTATAACTCCTGTCAGAATTCTGGAAAACAAAGCCGTAAGTGTAAATGAAAAAAATTAATTAAGTCTCAGACAAACATGTTTCCTTATTTTGAGGATAACCTGCAATACACCTTGTCAAACTTCCCCACATCATGGTAATCAAAATATCAATGTATTTTGTGTAAATGCAAATCAGACATAACTTAAAAGAATTTCTCTTTAGGATGAATGTACTTTTAAACAACCTTTTGAAAAGCTGATACAAACAAGTTAATATTCTTAAAAACTTGTTTTAGCTGTGGTATCACAAAGTAATGCAAGGGAAAAAAAATAGCAAAGTATCTTCCAACCTAAACAACTCCTCTGCTCCTGGATCAACCTTTCTCAGTTTACTGCAAGACCTGGAAGAAGAGCGTTACAGGAAAGAGCTTCTAAACACAAACACAAAGCTGACAAATAAGAAAGCGATTTTGAAGGAGCAGCGCCTGCCTCTGAATGACTGCAGTTTTTCAAGTACTGAAAACCGGTGCTGACATCAGTGCATCTTTTTTTTTTTCTTTTAAATAAATTTTCTACATAGGAATTTCTGGTGAAAACAATAAAGAGGTGGAAGTGAAAGTGTTAGAGAGTTACACTGAAGAGGGGATGTCGGGGGAAGGGAAAAAGAAGAGGGGTTAAAACCCACAAAACAAATCAGTAAATGTATCATTCAAATAAGAGGCGCAACAATTAGAGAGAAACTTTAAAGCAACTCACCTCGAGGGAGAGAGATCAAAGAGCTGTTTTCAGTCGGAGCTTGCTCTGGCCCTTCAGGCCCCGGAGGAAGAGGTTCTCTCACTTGGGACATCTGCCAGCTCTCTCGCCGAGTAATAAAGAGCCTGCACCCCCCTCCAACAAAACTAACACGCGACCCTGAAGGAACAAGCAAATGAAAGGGCTCGTTAATGTATTTTATGCAGAAAATTCACGGCGCGGGGGCGAAGGACTGAGGAGGAACAACAGTGAAGCGGCGG